GATCAAGCAATCGAACTTTCCCTGACATTTCTTTAGGATCTTAAAGTTGTTAGTCAGGTCACCAACTGTATCAACTCGGTGTTCATTTTGAAGGTGTTTATAATTGTCTAAACAAAATCTACTCGTTTGAAATAAGAAGACTGCAATTCAAAACACACATTTATTTGCATGGACTGGACTTTGATAATCTGTCCCACACTTTCACACCATCAACAACCTGCCCCACCATTAAGTAGACCATGGTCTTTTAACTGATGTATGTATTCGTTTGTAAGTCGTGTAAGCATTCATTATATTATAAGCAGTGTAAACAGTACAATAATAAAGTAGTAACGTTTGTTTCACGATGTGGTCACTTGGGATGTAGATCGCGATGTTTCGCAGCACATGTTAGTCTTTATCAGGCGATGAGGTCAGCTGGGTACACATCATTCATAAAACACAATGTTTCGCTGTGATTGGTTGGTTTTAAACAGCTGTGATTGGCGCATTTCGATCCTCGCTGTTTCATCAAGTCGTTCTCTGGGCGGTCCGCTGTCGTACTGCTCTACTGTTGTTATGTTTGTTGATCGCGGGCTTCCATGCTTCTGGAATTTCTATTCCACTCTCTCTATTGCTGTTGCTAGGGTGAAGTCTTATGTGAATCGCCTCTAAGAAACATTTGTAAGAGTTCTACTATAGGTCTTATAGTGTTGTACGAAGTTTTCGTTTTATCTCAGTTGAAATGAATTAAAAAATTAAAACTACCTACCAATATCACTATTGATGTGCTTTCGATGTGTAAAACAATATAACTAACTTTAAAAAGGCAAAGACACAACTACCGAATGCAGCAAGTAAATCATAAAAGGTCTTTTACTGAAAAGAGTTACTCTAGAGCCCTAACAAAGGGCAGTTCAATACAAAGCTTTAAACTCAATGCTATATAATAACTCTCACTACACTTCAAAAAATTAATAAGTCTCACCCCAAGTGATAAGAGTTCCTTTGAAAAAAATCATCCACAAACGTTGTATCATTTCTTTCTTAGTTATCTGCCCTTACTCTGGAACTTTCTGGGACTATTTTGAATTATTTTGGCACTCGCTCTTCTAAATAGAGAGAATTAGTCCGACCAAACAAGGTGTAGCATC